CTCCTCCTATTTTCCCCACAACAACAACCCTGTGAGGTGAGTTGGGCTGAGAGAGTGACTGACCCAAAGTCATGCAGCCGGCTTTCATGCCTAAGGTGGGACTAGAACTCAGTCTTCTGGTTTCTAGCCTGGTGCCTCAACCACTGGACCAAACTGGCTCTCCCTTGTGTTCTATAGACCAGTAATTCTCAACATGGGCCATATGGCTCCCTGGGGGTGGGGTGGGGGCACAGTAACTTTCTGAGGAAGGTTACCCAAGCTTAACTGCCAAGCATATGAATGAATTGATGTAATCCTCACATCTCATTTTTTGTGCTAATTTCAGCAGCATAAATATTAAAAATTACTAGTTTACAATAAATATCTTGATGAAAACAGCAGTCTGTAATATATACAGTTTTATATTCCAGCAAACAGAAACTACAGAGGTACTTACAAGTTTGTGAATCCTTTTGAATTTTCAATATTTCTGCATAAATATGACCTAAAATGTGATGTGTTCTCTACATAAGTCCTAAAGCTAGATAAAGAAGACCCATTTAAACAATGGAGTCAAAAACATTATACTTGTTCATTTATTAATTGAGGAAGGTGATCTAAAGTTATATATTTGTGTGGCATATGTATATGAACCTCTAGGATTATCAGTCCATTTGAAGAGGAAGTAAGAGTCAGGTGTTTCAATCAATGGCATGATAATCAGGTGTGAGTGTGGGAGGTACTACCTTATTTAAAGAACAGAATTCTGGGTATTCATTATCAAAGTCTGATCTTCACAACACAGGTATGTGGAAGTGTATTATGGTTTGAACAAAGGACATTTCTGAAGACCTCTGAAAAAGAGTTGTTGGTGCTCACCAGGCTGGAAAAAGTTACAGAACTATTTCCTCCAGTCCACTGTCAGGCAGATCATGTACAAGTGGAGGCAATTCAACACAATTGTTATTCTTCCCAGGAGTGGTCAACCAATCAAGATCACACCAAGAGCAAGGTGCGTAATGCTCTAGGTCTCAAGAATCTCCAGGATAACATCTAAGGAACTAAGGACTTCTCTTGAATTGCAAATGTCAGTGTTCATGAGACCACTATCAGGAGAACACTGAACAATTGTGTGCATGGCCGGGTTCCAAGGAGAAAGCCACTACTCTCCAAAAAGAGAGTAGTGTTCTCTTGCTGCCCATCTACAAAGACTACATGGATAAGCCAGAAGGCTATTTGAAGAATGTTCTGTGGATGGATAAGACCAAAATAGAACTTTTTGGCTTGAATGAAAAGCATTATGTTTGGCGAAAGGCAAACACTGCATTCCAGCATAAGAACCTTATACCATCTGTGAAACATAGTGGTACTAGTATCATGGTTTGTGCCCGCTTTGCTACCCCTGGATCAGGATCACTTATCATCATTGATGGAACTATGAGTTCTGAATTGTATCAGCAAATGTATGTATGCCCCACATTGAATGCCCTCGTTTTCAATACTAATTGGATAATAAAAAACCAATTTTTATAATGCAGTGATCTGCCTCCAACATAAGCTGTAACATCCTTTCCTTTTCTGAAGCAGATCTAACTGAGATGGCTTCTCAAGTGATCACTGTCCACCCATTAAATAAATACAGAAGTTTCCTTTGCAATTCAGGGAACAGTTTTTGCTTCAGATGAGACAGCTAAGGTAGTATGCAGCAAACATTTACAATGCATTCTAAAATATGCATATACAGTACTGGTCATTAAATAGAGGTAACAGAATAGCGTAGTTGCTGTCGTCATCTGTGAGCTATTGGCCATGGACGGTTGACCTTGGTTTTCACTTCCTCAGTGTGATGACAATTTTCTCATGTATAGAATACCCATTATTCATCGAACCACTAAGCTGAATAAGGTTGTTTTAAAGTTTCTGCTTCCATGTATGCCTTATCTCTTTGATGTTTTTCCCGAGAATGGCATGGTATGTTTTAAGAGGGTCAAAGATAAGTTGGAAGCCTTGATAGAGGTAGCTACTTCAATTCAGAACACAATAGCTTGTGTTCAAGCCAAGAAGTGTCTCTACATTGCACATCAGCTAACTTCTACTAAACTGCCTTTTAAAAATGTACTTGTAGATGTGAAATACATTCTCTTTTCCTTTGTGTTGGATGGATGGTATCTGACCAATCTGTAAAAATATTTGTGTTTGTGTTTGCATATGCACACATATGTATATACATACATATGGGAACTTGGAAATAGGCTTTACACACATACAAGTATATTTTAGTCATAACCAGCAAAACTACAGGTTATTTAGATTTTTTATTACCTGTAGTCTGAATGTGGCTTGTTTTAGGATGGATCATAATTAGGAAAGCATAATCCAATTTGGCAAGAAATAATATGTTGCTTATCTTCAGACAAGATAGGCAACATATGGAATGCAAAAGGTTCCTACCTCTAGGTTCTTCCAGGAATACAAAATTCTGAAGTCCTCTTGGTCATAGAACGGATGGAGAAGTATATGAATCTAAGGTTTGCTACTGATATTCACATTAGTCTAAGTTTTGTTTTGTGTGATGTTTGAATGGAACCTTCAATGGCTCCTGGAATACTGTACATGGCTTATCATTTTACCATTATATACCATTTCCTTAATCCTTTACTGTATTCTATTGACTTTTATACAAAAAATGATTAAATGCAACTGCACCCAAACATATTTCACTAGGGGACAGTAAAGGGCTATCTGCTAGAATAGAGAATCAGACAAACTTATCATCTAAATAGATTTAATCCCAGTTCAGGTTTTCTATTCCTCAATGGTAATTTCTGCTTTGCAGCAATCAACCTTTGACAGAAACGAATCATCAAATCATCGTAAGTATCAATTTTTTGTTACAAGAATATGAAAACTACAAGCAGAAATCAGTGATTTTCACTTACACCAACACAACTCTGTCCACTAAAATTGTCATATTGATTTGTTCCTTGAGTTTGGAGAGGATAAGGCACACATCCACAGCACTCTACTATGTAGTCAAATTGAACCTTGTTCAACTTTAATCCAGAATCAACGAACCCCTTGCCATCTCCAGCATTTTCTGCTAATAATTATCAGAAATGTAGTGTTTTTACCCAACATGTATCACTGCCAGAAAGGGGAAATAATTCCAGTTTATTGTAAACAGTTCATATTTAAAATAAAATCCGGAAGGTGGTATAACAGCAATCAAAATGAAATACAGTACAAACTGCATTGCTAACAAGTGCCATTATTCCAAACTTTCGAATATCCTTTTTCCACTGAGCAATGACTGGAAAATATTGACATTCAGACTTACTTACCATGGATATGATTATTAAGATATAAGAATGTTTACTGGTACCACTATTAAATGCTGTCTCTGTCAATTTAAAAACAAAGTGGACATTGTGCAAGAAAACTGTTAGTAAAAATATTTATACAAGGAAAAAATGTACAAGACCCTAAAGTAAATAATGTCACACATTATACAGGGAACAAAAATTATTTTGCTTTATAAGTGCATGTTTGCTAAATAAAGTTTTGTTGACCTCAAAAATTAAACACTGTATGGAGAACAAGTGAATAGAAACTGTAAATAACTTTTGTCATTTTTTCATCTTATAAATAAAACTGAATTGAGTCAAGAGCTAAAGGTGAGTTAGTGTCAAGAGGAACATGCACAAGTATTTCACAAGAGCTCTGCTGAATAACTATGGTGAACAATGTAATTTAGCTAGGAGCTAAATAAGATTCCAAAGATTAACCATGTGTGATCAAAGTTTCCATTTCTTTCTAGAACTGGGGACTGTGGCCTGTAGTTCTGAGAAACACATAAAATAGAAATGGAAAGTACCACACAATACTGTATTAAAAAAACAAGTCCAAGAAGGAAGGGTGGTGTTAGACACATATACCTTATCACTGTTGTATTTCACTTTGCTGTTTTGTAAGCAATGCTAAAACCAATGTTCATTAGCTTAAGACAAATGCTGCTTTAAAAACTAGCTCATCACATAGTCCTAAAACAAACCTATGCATTCTTACAAAATCAGCTTGAATGTAATATTCTGGTTTCCAAAGTGCACATGGAGAGTTGAATCCACCAAACCGCAGCCGCTTGGTGAGTGAAGGAACAAATATAATTACCTCCCAATAGGAAATCTCCCACTCTACAACTACAATACTGAAATTACTTCAGAACAGACAGACACAGAATTTAACTGTTGGATAGGCTTTCTTTTGGTGAGATTATCCACTATGATTTAATACTTTAATACTAGGTAAAAAAAACCTAGGACTCAATCATTGATTGCATTAAAACTATGAATTTGACAAACTATACAAGTCAGCTTAAAGATCTCTTCAACTTACTTTCAAATGTATAACGCTTTTAATAAATCCGTTCATACAATCCAACTGATTATTGTAGTTTATCGAATTTCTTATCTTTTATATTGCTACTAGTGCATATATGTGTGCAACCTATATATCCTTAAATGCTAGGATGGTATAACAGCTATTTTTAACTAGGAGATTTAGCAAACTTACTAACATTCAATGTATGCATGAGGTAAATGTGTATACAAATGTAAAAATCTAACAAAAAGTTCTGATTCGAAAAACTTCCATTTTAAAACATTTTCAATTGTCACACTGATTTTCTTTAAAAATTACTAATGTGCAAATTCTGCCATGCTAAAATTAGTAGACAACCCCAAAAATATTATTTTAAAAAGAGTAAGTTGAATTACACCATATTAATGATATAATCTAATAGTGATGGGTTCTTCAGACTGATGTTTGTAAAGAAACTTCAGAACTTTAAAAATGAGATTACAGATGTTTTTAAAAGCACCACAATACATTTTTATCATTTTTTGAGGGGAGGCAAGGATACAAAATGAAGGATGCAAGAAGTCAAAAGAACATAAGGAAACTTCTTGTTACACTGTGTAAGATGGTAGCTCTGGAGCAAGAGCAGTTCCCTGGATCTAATCACTCCCTGTATCTAAATGACATCACAGCTCAGGGCCAAAGCTCTTTCCCTTGCACACATTTAGTTCAAAGGAGAAGCCTGTTCAAGTCACCAGGATTTTTTTCATAAAGTTCTTCATGAGCAGTCAGCATTCAGAAGAATGGCAGCTAAGAGTGCTTTAAAACTATAGTCCACATAGCCAACTTCACCCATCCTGCTCCTTTCCTTATTACTTTTCCTTTTGCTAAAACTGCAGGGCAACCAGTAATTTTTCCTTTTGCTAAAAGTGCAGGGCAACCAAACCAGGAAATCTACTACTTGAAATAGTACTTTCCCAGGAAGTAGATGGCTATGTGGGGCTTTGTTAAGAGGAGATATTAATTAATAAATTTATTCAAAAGTGTTACATGGCTACCCATCTTATGTACAATAACCCTGGGCAGCTCACAAAACAGCAGTAAAAATGTAAAAAGGAACAATAAAACCACCATCAAAAAACAACTCCTGGAGCCCCCAAACAAACACCCCTTCATACATCCACATTTGCAGTTGCTGGACTCCAGCCATCGCCTAACACAATACGTGGGGAAAGAGCCAGCTCTTTAAGACCTTCTGGAAGGCTAGAAGAGTGGGGATCTGCCAGATCTTGGGGGGGGGGGGATTTCACCACCATATAAAGCAGCTTGGTTAACTGGAACTGGCTAGTGATGCAGAGGTTCTGGTGTAGCTGTCTTTAGCCATTACTTAGAAATGGGAGTGTGATTGATATTTTTGCACTGTTCTACTTCAAGAATTCTCAGTTTTGATAACTAATATGTCAGGGAAAAGGTTAGGCTAGATTTTTTTACATTTAGGGAGTTGTTCAGTTGGCTGAATACATGTGAATTTACATGCAAATTCTATAGAACAGATTTCCTGGGATTATACCAAGTGCTTTTTCCATATGTATAAATTTGGCTTAAATGTTTAGTAAGTTTCTAAGGAAACACAGTGAATAATAACAACAGAAGGCTCTTCTTATGAAATCTCTAAAGCCAGAGAAGGGTAAGAGGGTAACAGGGAATTTATATTCTTTCCAGCCAGGAGTGTTGTAGCCATATGGCTTCAGTAGTCTGACAGGCATAAATTTTGAGAACATACATAACTCTCCAACTGAGGAAAAAAACCACTCTGGTGACAATGTTTGAAAGAGTGCTGATAAAAGATGAGGATAAATAATGTTTTTAAAAGTATAAGATATGTTTCACAAAAAGTGGTCAGCTCCTACAGCAGCAACTGCATTTTCTTCTGAGACAAAGCACCTAAGAATCATCTGTATGGGATATTTTCTTCCACAATAGAGTTTTCAAGTTATTGAGTATTAAGGAATGTTCCATTTCCATCTGATTGGCTGAAACTTTCAGGGCAATGCATGAGTACAGTTGTTTCTCTAACTCTTCATGTATTTCTAAAGGAGCCCCAAGAAGCAGATAGTCTTTAAGCAACTGGCACACCTTTGCTAAATTTGGCTGAATTATTTCTGTAGTACATTTCATTTTACTTTGGTCACATACAGTTCTACAGTCTGAGCCATATACACAATCCAGGTCAGACTCACAGTGACGATCTTTAATAAGTTCTTTTAAGTTCATTTCTGGCACTATTTTTCTCATATCCAACATTTTTAAGTCATATTTATCATTATAACCCAGATTTTTGGCACTCATATCACACATAAGAAAATTTCCATATGGTCCATGGAAAATGTCTTCCACAAATTCTAGGAGCCCAATAGCAATTTTTGCCTTTCTGGGCCATGATGGAGTAAACCACTGATCCATGCTTCTTCTGAAACCAAAAGGAATGAAAAGTTCTACGATCCATGGAAGGCTTATTCCAAAAAGAGAGGTATATTCAACTTTTTCCATCACATAAAGATCTCCACAAAACCCCAACAATTTGGGAGTGTGTTCTTTATCCTGGAGAATTACCATGAGCAGGAATTCATTTAACTGGAGAAGTGCCCATGCTGATTTTGCTTCTGGCAAGGAAACACGACCATCTTTATTCCCATCAGCCACAGCCAAGATGAGATTAACCAATTCAGGAAGATTTCCCTGCTCTCCCAGTTTTGCCTAGAAAGAAGTCATGTATATATATTCAAATATCATGTGCACTCGGTTCTTTTCTTTTTAAAATTAACTGCTGCTTATTATCAGATGAGTTAAACAGTTTTCAAAAAATTTAACAAAAAGGTATCCCAGGAGTGAGACAACCATGAGCCATTCAGCATGATCCCATTTACTAATATTGAAATTTACCACAGAGGTAAGAGAAAATAAGAGTGTTTAAAGGTAGTTGCTTTACAGAATACCAGTCATGTAACTGTTGAACAAAGTAAGAGTGAGTGTCTCCAGCCTAAAGGTAAGAAGATGAGGAAGATACCGTGTCAGAAAAACTCCATTCCAGCCCCAAGCATCCAGCTTTTATCCTCTGTACTTTCTCTCCTCATAGTAGTTAGCTGCACCAAGTATAGCAGCATCACAAAATTTCTTGTACACTAACATGACTTTGTCTAACCTGTTTGTGGGCATCTCTCCCCTGTTTGGTCTCTGTTCCTAGTAATTTTGGTGATGTTATTTGATTCAAAGACTTAATGGAGCAAAGTCTATTATCCATCAATATTAACACAATTTTCTTTTGCATTCATTCAGCTAATTCCCTAAAATCATATTCTCATAATTTGATAATATTACTTTCAGTCAGGCTTCTAGTATTTTATTTTATTACAGATATATTTGTGAAACTTTTTTCCAATAAGCTGTTTAAAAGTGAAGATCTCTATCCCTTAAAAATGAATTACCAATGGAACTCCTTAGTACCTGTTCTTAATCCAAGACCTAGCTATATGTTAAACAGTTACCTTAGTGTTTTTTAAACACTACAGATAGAGCCTTTAAAAGAATAACAGCAGTAATAGAAAGACCCATAATTGAATTGCAATGGAAGGTTCTTATTTCTAAATCAGGGGAACCAATTTATATCAGGATTATAATGGGGAGGGAGAACTTAAAAGTTCACTTCTTGCAATCCCTATAAAACTATCCAATACAAAGTTTTAATTTTAATCTACTGATCTTGTCACAAATAGTAAGTAATTAAATTATCTATCTAGATCATTATTTTCATCACCACCACAGGCAATGGAGAGATAATATACTTACTTTAAAAAGTCCGTAGACCATCTCCTTGAATTTTTGAACAGTAGTTCCTCTAGTTGGTTTGTCAAACAGAATTGCTTCCTTCCTTGGTTCTAGTTCAGTTCTGAGATCAATATGAGCAATTTCTTCCATCTGGCATTTTATAACACCTTGTAAATTACCCCATTCTCCTAAATACATCTGTACAAAATGTAATAAATTAAGGTTATAGGAGGAAATTATCTTTGACACAAGCGTGCTCTCTCTGTAATGGGTGCCCAATATTTTATTGACTAAATCATTGGCTAAAATGACTTTTTTTTTTCAGTAAGATGACTTGATTATCTGGATAACAAATTTTAAAATGTGTATGCTAATTATACAAATACAGTACTTATAAAAGAACTGGGGTTGATAAGTGCTATCCTAGAAACAGCACTGCCATGTTTTTTCAGGTACAGGATAGACCACTTCTGCTAAACTAATACTTATATGCTATGTATTGTCGAAGGCTTTCACGGCCGGCATAGGATGGCTGGTGTGGCCGTGTTCTGGAAGTTCACAGGTGCTGGCGAAACGTTAGGAAAC